GAGAGAGAGAGAGAGAGAGAGAGAGAGAGAGAGAGAGATAGAGATAGGGAGGGGAAAGAGAGGGGGCAGATAGGGGAGGTGGGAGAGAGAGTGAAGGAGAGAGGAGGAGATGGGGAGAAGGGAAGATATGAAGAGAAGGTTGTGGTTGACAAAACTCTCATGAATCCTGGGGAGGACTTGGCAGACAAACAACCAGACTGTGATTTTCGTTCGTCGAATTTGGTTGAGAGAATAAATGGCCACATTGAAACCCGGAGTGGTTATGGTAGTAGTCGGCATGATCATAGGCTTCATAGCAGTGATGAGGCTTCAGTGAATGCCTAGCAGCTACCCCCCCTCCCTCGTGTGTGTACATGAGTGCGTGTGTGTGAGTATGTGTGCGTGTGCGTGCGTGCGTGTGCGTGAGTGTGCACGCTCTCTCTCTCTGTGCGTGTTGGCGTGCGTGCGTGCGTGCATGCATGTGTGCGTGTGTGTCTGTATTCGTGTTAGTCTGTCCGTCTGTCTGTCTGTTTGTGTGTCTCTGTGTATGCGCGTGTGTGGCACTGTGTGCGTGCGTGTGTGGCACTGTGTGCGTGCGTGTGTGTCTCTGTGTATGCGCGTGTGTGGCACTGTGTGCGTGCGTGTTCATGTGCGCGTGTGTGTGCGTGTGAGTGTACATGTGCACCTGCGTGTGTGTGAATGTATGTGATTGTGTTTATGTGCAGGTGTGTGTATGCGTGGTTACGTGCGTGCGTCTGTGCGTGTGTGCGTGTGTTTGCTCTCTCGCCTAGTACATTAGCTGCTCTCGTTTACATCGATTGTCGGGCAGGAAATGTGTTGGTAGTGCACAATTGATTTTGTTTTTCCACCCAGCTTTAGCTGCCGTTACAGTGCTGGGTGTACCTTTTCTAGTACACACACACGTTTAAGACACAACGATCAAAATTTGGTACCGGCTACCCGGCCGAATGGCAGTACAGTGTTTGAAGAAATAGACGAGGAATCGGCAAAGTCTTGAGTGATTCAAGCTTCTTGCGATAAATTCGCTTCTGTTGCAGTATGCTCATGAACCTACTCCTATGGATGTAAATTTAGAAGAGCTGCAACAGAATTTCATTGCAGAAAATAATAACTCCAGTGTTAACAGCAGAGAGCTCTGTCGACGATCATGCTGGTGTGATGTGCATGCTGTCTTAGTCCGTAACTACCATTGACCCTAGTATAGTTTGTGCTGTACACGTGGCAGAGTCGACAGAAGAGAATGCTGTTGGTTTGAATATGTGCTGTTGAGATAAAGATGGGTCTAGCAATGTAAGATGGGTGGGTGGGGTAATGGGTAGTTACGTCAGTGTGGTAAAATATTTAGAAGGATAGCAAAGCTGTAAGTGTAAACAGGTTTGAGTGGTACGTTTGTTGTGTCTATACAAGCGAGAAAAAGGGCGAGGATGCCAGGATGAAAGTTGAGCTCACACCAGGTTCTCATTATCGTGTTCTTCTAGCAAGCTATTTTGTATCGTGCATATACAAACCCAGTTTATTTTTTCTTCCTGGCTGTGGAAACGACTTGTGTCAGACTGGTTGCGTAGGTCTAAAATGCGTTAAGCCTACTGTTTTCTCTTAGGCGTAAGGAGAATGATGAACCTATCATTAAATTGTATACTGAGATGCAACCTGTTATGTGTGCAAATATTTATTATGCACTATTTTATAGTCAATGTGAGGAAGCGTACTAAGTATGAGATTCTCAGTTGAAGTGAAATGATAAATTGATTGAAGCTGTCATGCAAACGCCTCCACGCAGCCAGACACACGTGCAAAGTGCAAATACAGCCTAGCTTTACTTGTAAGCTCTCGTCCTGACTGTTGAATGATGTTCGCAAGTAACATAATAACATAATGATTTTACCCAAAAAAACACTTGAAAAAAAACACTTGCAACACTCTCAACACTTGCGAACGAAAACTCGTGCGTCCATGTTTAGTTGTTTCTAACCGCGTCTACGGCCTGTCGTAATAATGTGATTTTATGCGCTATATGATTGAAGGCAGCACACTGGTGAAGTGTGGGCAGATGGAGCGAAATATCGGCAACGCTGAAAAGGAGTACATCCATAAGGTCAACAACAATTTCCTCACGCCGCTGCGAACGTTCCTAGAGGGAGATATGAAGACCATTGTGGTACAGCCCTAAACATATCCAGTGAATTCATGAGATCAAGAGCAGATAAAGAAGGAGAGCATACAAGGGTAAAATGCTGAAACCATGCTGCAGTATTAGTCGAATTAATAAACTTTTCCCGTTTTATTTTGACGATCCATTGCAGTATTATTGATTAGCTGTCTTACCTTGTTCATATCAAACAAACCGCATGTCCCTACGATGCCCCTACGCTGAGATAATGAGCGGTGAAAATCTGGTATTTTCGCCGAAACCCGACTCGAGATCAGTGTGAACTGCGTCCCTCTCCCGAAGTGTTATAACTTCGGGAAACCTCGCGTGTCCCGAATGACGTCTGTTATTGATTGCCATAGTGATGACCCCCACCTGTGCCCACCTCACGCCCACCTCACGCTGGATGTATAGTAAACTCTGGTAGTATTACGTGAGTCAGCGCCACTATGGCGCTACACAGCGGCGACCGGAAGCAACACACTGGAAACACTTCGAGAGACAGTCGCAGTTCACACTGATCTCGAGTCTGGTTTCGGCGAAAATACCAGATTTTCACCGCTCATTATCTCAGCGTAGGGGCATCGTAGGGACATGCGGTTTGTTTTATATGAACAAGGTAAGACAGCTAATCAATAATACTGCAAAGGATCGTCAAAATAAAACGGGAAAAGTTTATTAATTCGACTAATACTGCAGCATGGTTTCAGCATTTTACCCTTGTACGCTCTCCTTCTTTATCTGCTCTTGATGAGATCTATATGTCGCCATTAAACACGTGTACTGAAACTATGAGCATGGTAATATAGTTGCATAAGATCGAATACAGTATTAGTAGTTGCCAGTATCATCACTAATATAATCATCCATCATTATTACCACCATAAACCAACACTGTGACCACTGTTTTTATCATGTCCACTATTAATACACCCACCAAATCATTTGCGACCATCATCACTGCTGCTATCCCCTCCCCCCACAGACACACCTCCATCACCTCTGCTCCCACCATCCCACCACCTCTACTATAAAAATATGTATATAACGATAATTGTTTTTGGGTGTAGAGAGAGAGAAAGACACTTGATATGAAGCGTCTGGATCTTGATGCAGCAAAGAGTAAGCTCAAGAAAGCGAAATCACAAGAGATGCAAACAGCTGTAAGTTTTCGTTAGTGGAACGATTACATCCTGATTCTTTTTTTGTTTTTAATTTTTAAAATATTAAATTTTAATCGTTAATTTTGATAGCCGTGGTATTACACAATCAATTAATTATCAAAAATACTTAAAAGTCTGTGTATAAATTGCACTGAACATTAATTATTGATTTGTTTTTAATGGTAGGTGTACTGTGTAAGCCCTTACACGTTAACAGCGTTGAAGGCAATTTCAATTGCATATTATAATGCAGCGGTGTCCACTTTTGCTTTATTGGGACAGGCCGGAGGACACCATGAAAATGTCCTAATTAAGCAGTAGTCCTGCTTAACTGGGACACTACAACATACACATTTCAACGTGTGCACAGATGGTTTTTCAAAATCGGGGACCACTGTACTGTCAATTTAACTTGGCACTGCACTAAATTAGGCAGGTAGAGCTCGGCTGTGTTGATATGCACATCTGTAATTGAATATTATTAACACTGTAATTAACAAATTGCATTGCCTTAGTGCACTATACTGATGTACGTACAGCACCTTAAATGTTTTCTTACGAGCACATGCGTGTGCCATGTGCAATTTGCTTGCTTTATTTTTTGTTGAAGAACTCGATCCGACCATTAGTTGGCCCTATTCATAGGGATATTCGTAGTGATGAACTATTTTTATACTCTTGAGCCACATCTACTCTCTTTCTCCCTCCCTCGATACCTACCTACCGCCTTCCCACCCTCTCTCCTTCCCCCCCTCTCGCTATCTCTCTCTCTCTCTTGCTTTTTCTCTCTCGCTCTCCCTCCCTCCCTCCTTCCCTCTCTCTCTCTCTCTCTCTCTCTCTCTTGCTTTTTCTGTCTTGCTCACTCTCTCAATTTCTCTTTATCTCTCTCTCTCTCTCTCTCTCTTTCTTTGTTTCTTTGTTTCTCTTTCTCTCGTACCATCTCTCTTTTTGTTCCTCTTTCTCTCTCCATTTTTTCCTCTTCCTTGCTCTCTCCTTCCCTCCATCCTCCCCTTCTCTATCTATGGTATGTGCATTTCTCTGCCCCGCTCTCTCTCTCTCTCTCTCTCTTTTCCTCCGCCGATCACTTGCTGCCTTCCCTTCCTCTCTCACTCCCTCCCCCTGTTTTTTTGTGAGAGTGACGTATAAATGAAACATTTCACGTTGCGATGCACGTGTGGATCGCGCCGGGAAGCGGCCGGCATTCACGTTCGATGCGCTGACAGTATTCGGTTAACACGATTTGCGCGTGCGAGCGTGCACGCACATGATTGAATTGAGATGTGACAGAAATCAGGTCAGTGAAGTTCGGCAGCTCTCCTCCCTCTTCTTGCTTCTCAGGACAGCCATAATTCCGTCCACCATTTCCGTCCACATTTGCCCGTCTAATTGGACGAAGATTAGGCACGACTTTATTTAATCGGTCGGGGATATCGGAGAAGGAATCCGTGATGTGTCCCTCACATGTAATGTAAGTGCATGTAACAGTTGTACCTCCTCGCGCGTGATCGGCAAACGCTGTTAGCGTCGAATCGTTAATTAAGTGGAGTATTAATTGATAGGCGAAACTGTAGTCACGTTGTTAGTGAAATACTGTTTTGTCGTGATTTCTTGCTGCTCAGGACTATCTGACTGTTGACAAGGTTTGTGTGCTTGTAACCTCGTGCCGTCCCGTCAGTAGCATCTCTAATGTAGAAATGGAGTGTTGCTATAGCATCTATCATTCATGTCATTGTAGTTGGTCAATTATAACCGAATTCTCACGATGTGTAATGATTTTATTTCGATATTCATGAAAATTATTTGCTAGAGCGAGTGTGTCAGCAGCCAGGGGCTCATTCTCTGAGGCAAAATGATTCTTAACATTAGTCTTAACATTGTCAGAAACATTGTAAAGTTACGCATTTATCATACACAGTGTGTAGATGTCTAGTTTACGAGAAAACGTTAATGTTAACTGATTTAGTTTCTGACAATGGGCTGTAGTACTTTTGCTGTCACTCAATTAAACATTTTGGATTTATTTTGAGATAAAATGATTTAAATGATTAAAAGAAATCCAACGACACCATTCCAAGAAAACCATTGCGATTTCCAGGTTTGGATCTCGGCTCCTCCGAGGCCACATGTAGCTGCTAATGTCAAATACATGCATAATTATTGCATATTTATGCATATGTAAAACCAAGTAATGTGGATGATAATATATATGGATGTGGATATATATACCACGACGTCATTGTATATTGAATAACTGCTGTGCATTACTTAATCAACAATGGTTTCCTTTGTCCAAGGATAGGTTTGTACATGTGTAGTAATGAGTGTGTGGTGTGATAAATCTTGATGATGGTATTTGTGTGACAGAGGTACTAACCTAATAGTAAATAGAGGCAGTTGAGTTGTTGCAAGGTAATATGAAGACGAGTTAAAGTCCCCAGCCACTGCTGCTGTTGCTGCTGCTGCTGTTGCTTCTGCAGTCAGTGCTTCTGCTGCTGCTGCTGTTGTTGTTGTTGTTGCTCGTGCCACCACTGCTACTGCTGCTACTGTCTCTCTGTAACACTGCTGTCTGGTTGTTGTGTGCGTAGGCCGAGGCAGAGGTGCGAGCATCTCAGTCAGAGTTTGACAGACAGACGGAAGTCACCAAGCTACTCATGGAAGGAATATCTAGTGCACACGTATGTATCCCTTTCAAGTTATCCTCTCAAATGAATCTAAAAATAAAAACTTGTAGACAAATTAGGTCTCGCCTCTTTAGTGTACATACTCCGTATAATTACTCCAACATTAAAATTATTATGAGTTTGTGCTTTTATAGACTATAAAATAGCTAATGAAATGCAAACTTGTGCTTGCATTCTCGTGATTCGCAAAAATGTAATCTGAAAATGGTGCCACAAATATGAGAGCATATTATTTTGTGACATCAATTCTTCTAGACTGGTACTCTATTTAGACAAAGGTAACAAAGTGCAGAGACAGTGTGCTAGTCAATGGTTTATCTTGAGAATGTGAGGATCATGTGCTATTGACGTATGTAAATCTACTTTGTAATGCATATCGGTGCATATATTGGTGAGAATAATGTTGTGTAAGTGTTCTAAGACACGTTAGCCCTTCTCTATACACTTGCTATTACGTATATGGAGTGGCAACGGTCAAGTCCAAGGTTATGATCCCTAGATTCATTAGCTACTTCCGCACAACACACACAGGTGTGAATCCAAACTTTCCAACATCACAGAAATGCAGAGAGCAAAGTTACATTCTGGTTCACCGGTGAACCAGCTGAACAAAGTCGTAGCGATGAGCTCTGAGAGCCCCCTATTATGATGAATACTCTCACTTCAGCTTGTATAAATAAATCACATAGATAGATACGTGGTTTAGTGTGGCAGCAAGCCAGTCATCACACGTGCTAGCACTGATTCCCATGCATTCACTGGCTGGATTGCGAGAGGTGAAGCTTAATTTGACTACGTCGCGAATTTTCTATGGTGTATATTTGTAAAATTTGTGTTGCCATTTTTTACATTAAAAGTAAGTACTAACGGGACTAAATGTATTGTCAAATTCTTACCTGATAAGATTGTTTCTCAACTAGTTAAAAATCCAAAAAACCTGGGCGATTTGCTATTATGATCCTGACATTAATTGCTTGCTATTGGCTATGTATCAGTCACGAGTTTATGTTTACATCAAACAATATAGTAAAATAGGAAGTATGATGCAGCAATTTAACAATAAAAAGTGAACAGAATTACTTACATTTTGTGAAAAAGTGGAAATATTTTTTTTACTTTTGCTATTTATTGTGACTTAATCACTAATTCGTATGTTCACCGTTTGCGGCTGCAGGCCAATCACCTCCGCTGTCTGATGGAATACGCCGAGACGCAGATGAAGTATTTTGCAAGCTGTCACGAGATGATGGAGGACCTTAACAAGGACATGGCCAAGTAGGTGTTGATTGTGTCACGTTCTATTCTACACAGCACTCGTGCGCACTAACAGTTTGCTGTACTACTAACATATAGGCTGCTTGCGAGGTGCTATGTGTAAACTAACTTCTCTGTTTGTAAGAACTGTTCATGGCAGGATTGGTTGGCCATGGTTATCTCGCTCAGATGGTTAGGTGAGTTATGTCTACCTTATATGTGACATAACTAACAGACGTGTTGGCTGTCGGGTGGGTTTCGCGTTATTTGCGTCCCTGCACAGGGCTGGGCTGCAAACACACGTGTGTGGATACTGAGTCACACATGACAGTTGGCATGGGAAGTAACTAGCGCAGAGCGTATCGATGCGCGCATCAGTGATGGGTCAGTGCTCGCCCTTTTGCTGATCTACCTCCGTTTCTTCTCCTTCCTTCAACACACTCGCACGCACACACGTACTCACGTACACACAAACACTCACGCACGCACGCACGCCGCTCTGCCTGCCCCATGAATGATGCATGCGCATGAATCAGATCCGGCGCATGTCCTGCCGCCGCCTCTGCTGCTGCCATCTGTTGGCTAGCATGAGGAAGCTGCCATGACGCTCTCTCTCTCTCTTCTCTCTCTCTCCTTTCTGCTTCGCGTGCGGTGGCCGCGCTCAGTGCGTCGGTGGTCTCGTCCGGGAACAGTGCCTACATAAGTAGCGCGGGCGGCGTGGACGGAGCATCGAGGAAAGCGCGGGTGCTGTATGACTACGACGCACATGAGTCACAGGAGCTGTCTCTCTTAGCAGACGAGGTGCGTGGCCACCGCCCTTCCTCGTGCGTGCGTGCGTGCGTGCATAGTTATGTGTGTGCGTGCGTGTGTACGTGCGTGCGTGCGTGCGTGTATTTATGGTGTGTGTGTGCGTGCGTGCGTATGTCTACGTCTGTTGATAGATTCGTGCATGTATTCATGCGCATGTACACTGATTACAACATTAATCTATCAACGGTAGCTTTTTTGTTGAATGTTTAGGATTTTAGTGCTCAGATGTGTGTAGTGCATTGGCTGCAATGTAATTTACGTTTGGCCTTTCACGTGCAAATACCGAATAAATATACGACGAAAGTGTTTTATCGCCCTGCCTTAGTAAGTATTGAAGTAGCTGTTAGCTTGTTGAGGTAGGATGTTACAGCTGCACTGCATTCCATTTAGTTTAGCTCTAATGTTGCTATAAGCGTAGCCTTACCGTGAAGCACACTTCCCTATCACTGCCGCTGACCATACATAGGCTTTCTCTACACAGTAGACAGGCAAACAGTGAAGCTGTTTGGAATAGGCTGCAAATTGCAATAGCAAAATACACTAAATGTGGGATGTCCACATTGACACTTACAACCACACATGCTACACAACCTCCTCGTTAAATACTGTGTTCCCGGGTAGAAGAGGAAGAAGGCCAACAGGTGTTCTGATTGGTAGAAATCAGAAGAAATCATGTAGGTCAAAGGTCAGTGGTACCAGCAGTTTTCTGATTGGTGCAATCGAAGACATAAATTATCATAATTGAGCGATGATCTACAGGCTTGTGTGGACTAAACGTTTTTGAAGTTTTCTACGGAAATAAACGGTAGGCCTACTATCCATGTTTCGTTCAGTCATCACGTGCTCAACGCACAACCCATTCTAAACCGTCCGTTCATTCACACAAGTTTGATACGCTCATGTGTATGCGGGGGCGTGTGCGCGTGTGCATGAAGACTAACATGCGGATTGGATTTTACTACTGACATGGTTAGGGGAGAGGTTTGGTTGTTGTGTGCGTGTGGCAGCCACTCGCTTGTTGTGTTTGCGCTTGCAGGCTAACTTAGACAGGGCACCTCTGTAATAAGTTCAGTGTGTGTTTTTCGAAGCACATTTTCTTAGGCAGTGCGTGCAAGTGGCTAGGTAGCATATGGTGGTATGGCAACCATGATGGTTATAGTTCAGCACCTATACTCATAACCCGACATTGTCTATACAGTCTTCTAACCCTAGCAAGACCGTTTCTTGGAGCTACTATATATACTCACTGCTGTTCATGTAGTCTAGTAGCAAAAATGATAAAATCGTTGAATGTGAATCACTGTAGCACTGAAATATAATGCACCAATAGTTTTCGTATGCAAACCAGTTGTGTAGCCACTTAATTTACACACGAGTGCAGGGGTAGAAATTAACTTTTGAACAAGGGAGTCTAACGGACTCCCTACCCTCAAAAAGAGGGAGTCCGCAGCAAAATGAGGGAGTCCGCAGTCTAAGGTTCAAAATTAAAGCAATAACGCATGTGCTTATTTTTAAGATTCATGCAGTTGTACGCCTGCCAAATTTTCTTTGGAAATTAGCTGAAAAAATACAGTAATTCAGCGAGGCCGTGCTCTGGAACGAACTAGTTAGTATGGCAGAATTTTTAGGGAGTCACACGGACTCCTGCATATGTCAGATCAGGGAGTCCGACAGTAAATCAGGGAGTATTTGACTCCGGACCCCCGTTAATTTAGCACCCTGCGAGTGTTTCCAACATGTTTTTAGCTATGTTGGTTTTACTACTGGGGCTGGGGTTAGTATATTGTGTCCGTGCATCTACACCGCGTAAGGAAATTAAAGGAATAATCTATTACACAGACTAAATTCTCTATAGAGTATATATATATATATAATATCTAAAGAAGCACGTGCAAAGCGTATACAAGTGTAATTAATGGCTTCTTGGCATAGCTACATTGATTAATTTGGTTTTACCTGCAGCTATTATTACCCAGGGTGCGAAATTAACGGGAGTCCGGAGTCAAATACTCTCTGATTTACTGTCGGACTCCCTGATTTGACATATGCAGGAGTCCGTGTGACTCCCTGAAAATTCTGCTATACTAACTAGTTCATTCCAGAGCGGACTCCCTGATTTGACATATGCAGGAGTCCGTGTGACTCCCTGAAAATTCTGCTATACTAGCTAGTTCGTTCCGAAGCACGGCCTCGCGGAATTACTGTATTTTTTAAGCTAATGTCCAAAGAAAATTTGGCAGACGTCCAACTGCATGAATCTTAAAAATAAGCACATGCGTAATTATTGTTAATATCTTTAATTTTGAACCTCAGACTGCAGACTCCCCCATTTTGCTGCGGACTCCCTCTTTTTGAGGGTAGGGAGTCCGTTGGACTCCCTGGTTCAAAAGTTAATTTCATGCCCTGATTACCCATGTCTTATTGAATTTTAAATTACCATCGTTTGTGGCATTGAATTGCTAGTGACGTGACGTAGGCCTTTTCCTTCAGCGATATGCGTCCATGTGTGTGTGGTGTGTGTGGGGGTGCGTGCGTGTGTGGTGTGTGTGGGGGTGCGTGTGTGTGTGGTGTCTGGGGGGGGGTGTCGTGTGTGTGGGGTGCCTGTGTGTGTGGTGTGTGTGGGGTGCGTGTGTGTGTGGTGTGTGTGGGGGTGCGTGTGTGTGTGGTGTGTGTGGGGGTGCGTGTGTGTGTGGGCGGTATGTGTGTTACATGCGTCCAAGGCACAATCTACATGTATGACATAGTCTTCATGCACACACATGGCAGATTGGTTTCATTGCAGGTGATTACAGTGACAGCAGACTTGGATGACCAGTACGTGATGGCGAAGAGAGGCAATCAGAAAGGAAAAGTCCCAGTCGCATATCTCGAATACATCCACTAGAAGCAAACATGGTTGATTCCATTTTCACACAAAGACCAGCTCGGTCAAGGATTCAATTGAGGATCATCTGCTACTTGTTAACCATCTGTACCTGGTCCATTATCTTCTACGAACAGCACCCATCCCACAGAAATTCAATATGTATCATTTCAGAATTTCTTTCTTTCTCATTACTCGCTGAGTAACATGTTCTAATAACGTGCTGATCGAAAATTCAGCACGTGTCTCGCTCTGGTGGCAAATTCCGTAACAAGTAATACGTACATATCTAGTGTGACTCGCCTGTATTAACTCGCGGTTATGTTGCCTTAGTTCGCTTGTCTGTTTGGAATTCGAAGTGGTTGGGAAAGAATCACGCATGCATATAAGGTGAAGTCTGGCCCACCCACCTTACGCCTTACAAAAATTGAGCGGCCGAGGGAAAATGACTTGGAAGTGCAAGTGCTTACCATATTAGAACAGTCCATTATTTATGAACGAGATATATTACAAAACTAATATATAGCATATGATGTTCTCTAAGTTACGTGTGTTGTTCATTGTGTAGATGTGGTTCGAGTATACATGGAGGTTAAATCACTTTAGATGAATTTGTTTGTTGGTGTTGAGTTTTTTTTTTCGGTATAAAGAGAGATTGATGCGCACACATATATGAGCATATACATGTCATTACTATTGAAATGAACTCCCCTCCCACCATTTGGAGATCTTCTTTGTCTATGGGATTTCTACATACTGCGCATGGCATACGTCTTTAGCATATTCTTCTGCTTTCACGTGCGCTTGGTGGAGATCATTCTAGTCATGAAATGTCAGATACAGATAGTGTGCCTGTTAGTTACAATTAGGCACACCATTCCTGTCACCATGTTCTCAATATCGTCGGACCAACCTCGGTAATTATTTAAACAAGTTAACAGCCTGGAAGCTGTCTTTAGTCATTTCGTTAATCAAAACCTCTTTCAATCTGTTGCGACTAGGGGTATGAATTAGAAATTGTTGCGGTATATATGATGTAGTTATATGTACGTACATTGTGATCACATAAATAAAACTAATCAGGGAACTCCCGGGAATGTTGAATTCGGTATGTGTATTCTGTTAATATGAATGCACTATACCTAGAGTGGTTTCTGCGAAGCGTGTTTATCTACCCAAATACAATATATTAGTTAAATGTATGGTTATGGATTCATATAGAGTGATTTGTTGTTATTTTCACTTCCAAAATTTTGGCTATGTCTGGGAAAAAGAATCCCGACTGTGGACATGTGCATGTGGTGTGATTGTGTTTGCGTCAGCAGTAGCTTGCCCCGGACAAGCCCCGTACTTGCCCCGTACAGTGTAAGCCTTCACTGTGTCACAGTGGGCACGTGGGCATTCGTGTGGCAGAACGAAAGGCTTCACGGGTCGAGTAGTTGTTTGGAAGAGTACGTAGTATAGCTATGGCAAGTTACCTTGTAGGAATTGATAGTTAATTGGTTTAGCGAATTTATATCACCTGCAGAATAACCCGGCGTATGCCAGTTCATATGTTATTATGTAATCAGTTCTATGCACTTTCGCCCTGCTTTTATTGTATGACGTACATAGCTTTCAGATAGGTAATATGAACGTATGCATAATCAGTGCAATGCACATATCCTTCTCTTTTAATGTAAGGTGTACCCATATGGGTTTCCAGTAACTATCATACACTCATTTTTAGCCAGGTGTATCCGGTGTATAAGGTATGTCTCCTTGCATAAATTAGCCTGCGACTTATATATACTGCTGTCATGCCATGCAAGTTTAACAGAATTCTCCATTAATGTAAAAAGAAATCGTAAAAAAATCTTACAGCAGCCTCGATTGAAAATAGTAGTACTCTGTTACAGCATAGTAATCATACGGATTACTGAATGAATACTCAATTGAAATAAAACTGCATGAATAATCTGCTGCGTAACATCACCCAAGCAATTCAATCGTATATCTTTCCATCGCTGTGGTATTTGCGTGTATGCAGATTATGAAGATACCTTTGCGTGTATGAAGGGGCTTATAATGTGTGACGAATATCAGAATGTTGGAGCCTATGAAGCCTTTTATTTGCAATCATGCCATTAAACTATACATCAAATGATTATAGGTGTGAGGTATTAGATATAGTCATCATACGTGAATGCTTATTATATCGGTGAAGCTCTCTTTGTGTATTCCATTGATTGCAACAGTAATAACGACAAATGAGAATACAATTGTATGAAGGAATTGTTAACGACATTGGGATGTTTTACTTCAGACGTCATTTTAAATAATAAATTACCTATTTCTTCCTCATATTTACAAAACAGCTTTTTCTAGCTTACTATTCACAGCGTGTGTATAGGGAAATTTCGTTATTAAAGCTACGGCTATAATAAATGACCTGGCAACAAGTTTTTGATGTTAAATGCACGATGTTTATTGAGGCTACAACGGGGCCATTACAACAGGGAAATCACAAGGTCAATGATATGTTTTTATATATATATTTATATATTCTAATTTTTTAAACCATTTCACACATCAATAAAATAGGTACACGAATTGAGAATTGTAAAATATCTTGTATTGTAGGAGATTCTTGATTTCATATTGGCTATAGGTATGAACACTTACCTCTGTGATTCCCGTACAGTAGTCTCATAAATATATAGGAAGACATTGTCATATTAAAATATAAACCGCTTAAAATATATTACTCATGATTTTAACATGATATTATTGCACACTTGTAACACTTCTTTTGAGATTCAACAAGAATAAACATATAGAACAAACCAAACTTTACAAGTAGGTCTGATTAAAACACTGCAGTACTTGCTAACAACTTGCGTATATAATATATAACAAATATATAACTAAAACATAGTCTGATGGTAATCTCAGATTAACGAGTATTTGTGTATATAATATATACTTTCCTAATGATTCTAGATAAACATTTACGTCACGGTTGCCACAAAAATACGTGCCCTAGCTTGCAGTAAAACGTCTGCGTTTAAACGCAAGTTATGAACACGGAAATAATATTTTTTGTAACGAGTGTTATTCGATTTCCTAAAAGTGATCATGCGCATAATAAATAATCTTTCGTTATACTGAGTTGCACGCATGCATCATTTTCACAAACACATTCTTGAGCCTACGAAGACAATCATGTCATCATGATTGTCACGTCATCTACTGTCACCTGTTTGTCACTGGCGCGTCACTGTGCTGCATCTGTAACGAGAACGCTGGCGCGTCCGTGCGTCCGTATGCACGTGTCGACGATGGTGAGGATGGCTTTGAGCCTGCGATCGACGGCGCGGTAGTGGGCGTCTGTGAGCACGGGCGTGATGGCGTCGTACCCCAGCAGCATTCGCAGCAACGAGCCGAGCATGCCGCCTGTTAACCAGCTCAGCTGCTGCCAGGTCGACCGCCGCATGCTGCAAAAACAACAATAACAACATGAATCTCAACAGCAACAACAACAACAGCATGAATGTCAACAACAACAACAACAACAACAGCATGAATTTCAACAACAACAACAACAACCACAACATGAATCTCAACTCAGCTGCCACTCACAGGTAACTCCAGCCAATCAGCATGGCGATATGAGCGTTCTAAAAACACTGCTTAGTAGGGAAGTGTCATTACAATTGGGTGAGCTTAACGTGGACATAAGAGGGCGAATATCTATATATGGTTACCTCGCTCAGACAGGTTGCACAATACATAAATATATATATATATATATATATATCAAGAGTACATGATAGGATCTCCTATTATGCACTCTTGATATATATATATATATATATATATATATATATATACAACCACGAATCTATTTATCTTGTCTCATAATCATATGCACCAATTTAATAATTAATATATTATGAAAAGCTGATGAATATACTATTCTAAGCGCATTTTGATGTTATTCTAAGCTGTTGCCATGTTGACCAACACAAAGAATGCGATGCTGATGGAACAACAATTAGGAGACACGGATAAAAACTTTCACATTTTTCCTTTCCAAACCCAACTAGAAAGGGCAGTTGTCGCCAACTACATGTATCCCCCGTGTTCTCCCCAAGATGTGTAAGTATACAAAGTTTGGTCGCGCTAGGTCAATTAGGGGCCGAGTTATAGAGCGGAAGGAAAATATGATGAAGGTCAAGGTCAAATAAAGGTCGTAGTGACCTGGTTTTGGTAGCGCTAGGTCAATTAGGGGCCGAGTTAGAGAGCGGAAGGGAAATATGATCAAGGTCAAAGTAAAGGTCAAATAAAGGTAGTGACCTGGTTTTGGTAGCGCTAGGTCAATTAGGGGCCGAGTTAGAGAGCGGAAGGGAAATATGATCAAGGTCAAAGTAAAGGTCAAATAAAGGTTGCAGTGACCTGGTTTTGGTACGCTGCTCACGCTCTCCCCAAGATGTGTAAGTATACCAAGTTTGGTCACGCTAGGTTAATTAGGGGTCGAGTTATAGAGCAGAAGGGAAATTCTCTGCGGCGGACCGAGCGGCGGCGGCGGCTGGGGAGACATGAAACCATAGCATCCCTGCCGACTTCGTCGCGGGGGATACAATTAACAGCAGTCTTGCTATAGTTTCCTAAAACGTGTTCAGTGCTAGATGCTAGAGGATAGGATACGATTGTAGGAAGTTATCACTGCAACTCACATGCAGCACTGGTATAACGGAGCCAGGATTGTCACTTCATCTTTGTCAGGATCCCCGAAACTATAAGTAATAAAACAAACAAATAATAATTAATAAATTATATTAATAAATTCAAGTAATAAAGTATTCACAAATCATATATGATTGACGTCTTTAATACATGACTGGTGCTTAACTTTGGTGATGAAACTAAAAATACATCAACAATAGCAGCATGGAAAAAAAAAAAAACTATATAGTATCACTCCTGCTATGTGTATTTTACGTGTATGTGAAAATAAAGCCATCATTAGTCAACACACTACCTGTTGTATGCCGTATGGACAAGAAATCTTCGACCGAGCACCTTCACCATGTGATCAGATGTTTTCATTTGAGCAAACAGATCACCTCCATCTGGTCGTGATCACGTAATATGAGCCAGCGCCAGTGTTATACGCGGCTAACAATAATTAAACCATATTATTGATTCGGGGTACAATAGTTATTACAATACTCAATAGTCTACACGCAGAGACATCCCACGCTGTAATGAACAGCAAATTAATTAACAGCAATAACATTACATAACGTACAGTACCTCTTGCCATTATCCAGCAGCACTACCATGCTGTCCTCCCATCCAGCAAACATCTCACACATGTGTCTGTCGGCATTGCCTATGAGATAGTCCAGAACTGACGCATCGATGAGGTCCAGCAGCATCGGGCCAGACTTGTATAGTGGGCTGCTGCGCACAATATTACAGTAGTCCTGGTCGGTTTGCCATCTGTGCAAACAAAGACACACACTGCTTTTATGGCCCGCGAGCAGCTTCTTATTATATGACGAAAAAGAGAGAACGTTCATATATCCGCACACGCATGAATGCACGTATGCACACACACACACACACGTATGCACACTTACGCACCAATACGTACACAGGCGCACACAATCATGGATGCATTGACCAACACGCACGCACACACCTGGGCACTAACATGCACAAATGCACGCACACAAATACAGATACATGGCCGCATCAACTGGAGTAGTAATTACACGTACTCACCGTGCAGTTTTGTTGACGTTGTACGTGCGCTTCCAGGGATGCCAGAGACGTTTCTTGAGCGGCCAGTTCTTGGGCAGCCACAGTGTGACTGCTCCCTCCATCACGGACCCAACGCCGCACGCAGCCGTCTCCGGTCGACAGGGGCCGCACTTCCCGTAAAAGCAGACGTTGTCACCTGCGCGGGGAATAGCACATACACATGAAATAACGCACCGAAGCAGTGCATTCGCTTAGAAAGGGTAAGAATTGGTCATAACGAAGGCCACATCTTCTTCTTCCTCTTCCTTTTTCGGCTGCGATGTGCTATAATGTTGATTTGTTGATTTGATCATCGTTATGACCTGGCCATTTCATAGATGTCCGCCAACACATGTTTGGTTTGACAATGTTTTCTAATCAGTAATGAATGCATTTGGATGTGAGGATATGTGAGTGTCTAACCTGAAGAGAAATTCGTTATCGAAATGTAGCCCATACATTAGAGAAGGCAGGAGGACCAATCAACATACAGTGCCTGATATCAAATAAACTACCTTTCACTAGGAATGTCTCCAGTAGTCGCAACTCTGCCACAGGCATTAGTTCCGACGTTAGATTGATGCGTCTGCCTACAGCAACAGGTATTCTTCTCAAACCCAATATCCTGCAAGAGCAGATGTACGCATGCAAGAATGATGCAGGTTAAAACGGAAAATATGAGTACATATCATCACACGATCTACACATTTAATACGAAGTGCATTGAACGATCCCTCACAAGACACATAATAGATCATATATACAACGACAGCATTCCTTATTGCGGTATTCCATTTTTTTATAGAATGTGATATATCTATGCTCTGGAAAAGCAATCTGCACCTGCCCAAGTGAAAAGCAGCGATTTCTCCATTATGTCGGTCATATCCAGCATACGGCGTTCCCTTGATGACCTTATCACGTGCATACCTGAAGTACAAAGTCGTTACACACGTGTGCACGTGCGTGTGTGCATGCGTGCGTGCATAAACCTTGCATATCTTTTACCGTAATAAAAATTAATAGCAATCAAGTAAAAGCTAAAATAGTTAAAAAAGGTTAAAATAGTAATCAAGTACACCGTGCAGTTATGCTTATGCTAGTGGCATTGAATATATATATATATATATATATATATATATATTCGTAATATAACGTATATATCCCCCAGAATTGTGCAGTACAGTACAACAGCACACTGTTACGTGTCCTCGATTCGACTAAATCCCTCTAAAGCTACTCGATATCACAGGTGGCATGCCACCACTAGGACTCCTCTCACTTTTGCGGTCTGAACGAGACGCGCTGTCCGCCCTCCAGCAGTAGCGTTGCCTTCAGCTGTGTTCCCTGGTAGCCGACGTCTGCTCGCGTCACCTTCTCGGTCGCCATCGCAAACAGCAGCGCCCCCAGCTGCGGCGCGCGCGCAGGCAGCACGGCGCGGCTCTGCACCCACCCCGCCGCGACCGCCCACGGCGACCCCGCGACCTCCACGAGGCGCGCCGTGTCGTTGAGTAGGCCCTCAGCGAACTCGCGCAGCTCCGAGGCGGCGGTGATTCGTCGGAGCGTTTCGAGGTCGCGCCGGTGCGTCGCTTCCCTCAGGGAGCGGTAACCGGGATCGCGCAGGGCCTTCCAGGACGAGACGTTGCTCAGATCGTGCAGCGCGATCGGAGCCGCGTCGCCGCCATCTTGCACGGGAGACTCGACCGGCGGCAGCACGCCACCTTGTCCGAAGGAATTGGGACGTGCTCTCGGTGGGAGGCTGAAATCTTCATCGCGAACATGGGAAAACATGGCGTGGATGCGTAGGTATAGGGTGATGTAGACGAGTAGGAACATGACTGACAGCGACACGGCAGCCGTCCTCAGCCTCATGTCTTAATTATATAATAATGAGTCATTTGATATGCCTAGCCTAATAGTCTGTCAATGTCTACTCTAGTGAATGATGGTCAAGCTTGAATTTGAAGTCAAGCACGGTTGATCTCGGTTCGTATATATGTCCTGTGAGTTCATAATGTATAAATGCAATGTATTCTCTCTATCTCTCCTTCACTCTTTCTCCCAATCTAATTGACAATTATGAACAGGATCCTCATACTGACATCTACAACGTAGCTGGTCGAGCTACGTAATTGTACGAGTTGTATTGTGATATTAGGTTCTACGTTGGAAAATTTGTTTCGGAGATTAGATTCGCACAAATGTTCGACAAGTTTAGCCTCATGTCTGCACTTGATTTATTATAGCGTTTGTATCACTCTTTCTTTTAAAAACTGCACTTCCTCAAACAGTTGAGCTGGCGTACATTTCTAATTCAGATATATTCACAGTATGCCGTATGCACTTTTCGTTTTGGCAGCAACTAGTATGCTGATACATTCATCCAAAGACATCTGAATATCTTCCAGTTCCTCTTAAAACAGGCCCTGAAAAGAAGGAAATACACTTGAAGCTACTGTTTGGGATGTGCAATTTTTGCTACTAATACATTGACACTATAAGCCATTTGGTATCAGCAGGAATATACGCATAGAGTTCTATAGATATATTCATGCTATCAGATGCAGTGTTAATTCGAATGTAGCGCTAATGAAATATGTTAGTTTGGAATGTGGCATGCTCAGCTGACACTCATGCAGACTATAGTGCGCGAGATACACAGCGGGGAAAATACATACAGTAAACGACATTTTATTAACGGGTTTATTTCAACACTGTAACTACAACACAATATAATACAGCAATTTTTTGCTTGCAATATACTAAAGGAGTAGGTCCCACGACATCATGCCAACAATAGGTCACAGCTCTAAATTTATTACACTATTAAATTTACGTTCTCAGAGATGTTATTGTCAAGTTATTATGCTCCTAAATTTATATACTATCATAAGATTTTCCCTACACCCGAATTTTAGCACTGACTGCAAGCTGAAGATTCCTAACTCTCAAGATTAGGATCTGCAAGATGCTTTCTCAGAGATGTTACTGTCAAGTTATTATGCTGCTACTCACTTTATCATACAATTTCCCCCACGCCCGATTCCTAGCATTGACTGCAAGCTGAAACTTACTCTCAAGATCAGGATCTGCAAGAATTTGCTGATAAGCTTTCTTTAAGAACTTCGATTCACTTTCACCCAAAATGACCGCAACTACAGCTTTGCTGACTAACAACAAAAGATCGTCACCGTTCGCATGAAACTCTGTAAAGTGGTAAGTAGGCCACCAAGATTTCCTATCTATCCAGAGGTCAAGGGCACCTTCAACCTCCGCCTCTGAACCGACGCTAAGGAGAACGTCGCTGAGTTTTTGCCACGGCCGCCTGTCGTGCTGCCACGCGGCGTAATCTAGCATGTCAAACAACACTGCCATCTTCTTCACAGCATCGTCGTCACCGAGGAGATCTACATAATCTAACATCAATTCATCTGACGGGTTCACCTCTGCATACCCTTCGAGTATGTCCAAGAGTTCGGCGGCGGTGGCTCCGCGCTTCGCCACGGCCGCGTACAGGTACCTGTGCGCGTTCGGGTTGTCCGGATTCCGCGTCCTGTAGCGGCGCAGCACGTCGACGCTCGACACGCTCAGGTGCTGCTGCGAGCTGTCAATGAGATGCACGTACTTCGTCACGAACGCGTCGCACACGCCCGGCTCGTCGAGCAGCTTCTCGAAGGCGACCATCGCCATCTCGGCGTGATTGCGCAGCGACTCCTCGTGACCCATCTTCTGCGTCTCGTACAGGTAGTCGCCGCCCGTCTCCGTCTCCGCCGCCGTCGTTGCCGCCGCCGCCAGCGTCCGCAGCTGCTGCCGGTCAATGAGCCACTCGGCGTACTGCGTCATGCCGCGGTACGCGGTCAGCGCGCGTCGCACGGCCCGCGTGCGCGCCGTGCCGCTGCTCTCCTGCGGCGGCGGCGCCGCGGCCACCGCGCCGAACGCCTGGTGGAGCTCGTTGATGCGTCCCTCGCGCAGCAGATGCAGGATGTAGAGCAGGGCGTATTCGGGCGCCTCCTCGTGCAGCGCCCCCTGCGCATGCCGCATCAGCATCGCCAGTGCCCCCTCGCTCGCGCGCAGCCGCAGCAGCGACTCTATGCCCGCGCGCCACACGGCGGCGGTGCCCGCGCGCGACCTCAAGTCGGTCTGGCGCATGAGCACGGCGAGTAGACGGGCGGCGTCGGACCAGCGGTGCGCGGCCATCGCCTCGGAGAGAGAGATCAGCAGCTGGTTGCTCCAGTTGAGCATGCGCGTGTCGAGGAGCCGGCCGGTGACGGCGCGCGCGGCCGCCGGCACGATCGTCTCGTAGTCGTCCGCCTCATCGTCGTGACGATGTGGGTCGAGCAGGCGGGAGACGAGGTTCTTGAGTGCGGCGAGGTCTGATACGTGTATCGCGAGCATGGAAGAGCGCCAGCGTAGATCCTCCGCCATGACGGTCAGGTGACGCGTTCACACGCCTCCGTGCGCTAGACTGAACGTAAAATCCTCCGGTCCCTCCTTCTGTTGGCTCTCTTATGGTTTTTCTAAACAGTGTTCGTTTTCCTCGAATATCCCTTCTAGAGCATCACAAACCCTCTGCTTCAATAGTAGTAGGGTGACATCACACACGCGAATATCTTCAATGAATATTTTCACGAGTGTTGAGTATTTGAGTAATTATAGAATCTCCTTCTGCTACCTTGAGCTAATTTTTCTCGAGATATTTTCTGATCTGGTTGTCGGTTAACGTTCACACAAGTCTTCGTCTTTCTGTCGACTTCCTTGTGGTTTCCCGCTAATAGACGCTTGTTTGCCAAAGAATGAGGATGAGAACAAGACTGCAATCACCATGATCCTGATACAAAACCAAGGTCAGTTAGCGGTTTGGTTACGGGGAAACCTGGGTGACAACAGCCAGTTGTGACATGTAAGCTTCTTCTTGCGATGCAATTCAACGCTGAAATAAGAAACAAGCGGGAGTGCTATATACACACGCGTCTAGTCACTTTAGTGAATGTTAAGATGGCCATGCTGGTAGTTGTGAATCTCCGATGAAAAGTGGCCGATTTTGTAAAAGTTCAAAATGTTTCCTAGGTTATGCTAATGCAAGTTGTGTAATACACTCCCACACTCATACAAATAGTACTGTGTGTTAAGTATGATAAATGTTTTTTTGCAATATTACTACACAAAACTAATTAGGAATAAGGTTTACACACAAATTTATTGCATACAAACACGTATGACTATAAAGGCGTTAAGCCAACAACTACGTCGATCAGAAACACACAAATACGCAACATTAATTAATGAGATGCCTCGTGCTCATATATAGCCATTGTCACCATGACTCAACAACCACTTCATTTTCCTAATCCGTGGAATTTTGGAGTCACCCACTTTACAAATTAGATCACTCTGATGTTTGCACCCCTTTACAATGCTTTACACTGAGCAGGGCAACTAATTACATCACTGACGTCAAAAACTCATTAGATTTTGGTAGGCACGTTCATCAGGCAGCCATATCCACTTAGTGGCAGCTCATCAGAAACTGATTGCACGGCAAAGCTTCGAAAAGAAGAACGGCTATAGATACAACCGAGAGCTAATAACACGTGTATTACATGTATAATTGTACACGTATTACATGTAATGCGCGTATTATTAGCCCTTGATACAACCATAAACACATAGATCTTTACAATTATGTATAGATATGACCTTGATAGAAACATGAGCATGTCCAGATATAATGGGATTTTGTACTTTTATACACTGTATAGATATTTTACACTATATAAAGATATGTTCATCAACAACTAGCGGCTAAAACGGCAACGTTACGTGAGCACTGCACAAGTCCATGTTAATACTAGTCAGTAGTCCTGAACTCTGGTGATGGTCACACATATACAAACATGTTATAAGGGCCTGTTGATCCTATCCAATATCATATGCAATTACGGATTATGAAAAATACTGATGCCATCCAATTGTAAATTTGTTTATGACAATTATTTATGAATTATTAAATTAAGTAAACCCTGACCACAATAAAAACTCTCAGACATGATTACAGGTTCAAACGTTTACATACAATTTATACTATGGGTTTATACAAAATGACATACAAAAACAACAATTACGTTTCTACTATGTACAGTATAAAGTTGGGGTGTAAATAGGAATCGAATATCAGGAGAGCATTATACATATATATGTGTGTGAATCATATTTCCTACCTGACATATGTTGCTCACTCTGTAGTAAACAGCATTTTGTAATTACTTCTGTCTGATGCAAACCCCTCAGGACCCACAATACTAAAATCACTCGTTAATGACATTATATTATAATATCACTTTAACATTTTATATAAACAATCAGGTGATAGTATTAATTCCATTTAGGTGTCATAGAAATTCAAACGTTTAGAATTCAGTGCCATTTTTTCAAAGCATATATTGCTCATATTGCATCTTACGCAGGGGGTCAATATTAAACACTAATATCACAGAACGGACTCATTATGACTAGCTATAGCTACACATACATCTATGCATGCAATTATAACATTACATAAAACTGATGAAAACTACACCTAATTAATACCTAGTTAGAATATAATAACTAAAAATTAATTCTGCTGAAAAATTAATGCCATTATTTGACTGCCACACGCAGTCGACATTATTTCTATGTATGTACTATGAAACTTCTTACTCAAGGCAAGCATACAGAAAACATATATATATATATAGTTACACAGTAGTGACAGTACTGTGAATTAACCTACATTCAGAGTACAGATTTTTTCACGGTTCTAGTACTTTGCACTACTACATTTGCATTTTGGTTTAACCTTAGACATGTGTAATTATATTGGTGCATCTGTTATACTATAATGAAATCCTACCTCACATTACATACACACCGTCACGGATTAAGATTTTAGGAATGACGAATTTAAAATTGCAGGTCGTGTACTGCAAATAATAAATGAATAACTGCTGAATAGTTTGATGACTTCTTTTTGGATTTTCTTATACAACACAAGAACACGATTAATAGGCACAAATTGTATATTATAAAGATTGACTTGGTCCACAATATTTCAAAAATATATAGATTATGCAAATGCTTAAAAACATGTATATATATAGATATAGATATGCACAAAAACTGAACATTAAATTGAATTTTACTGAATGAGACTTCATTGATTAAGACTTTATCTGACATGTTCTCATTGCTACCTAACCTACCTAACCTGGTTTATTATATATGTGGATACTTCTAAAATATAGATCTTGAATGAACAGCATATACAACATTCCTTTACACAACATGAACCATTCCTTTATTGTGGAATGACGTATTAATCTGAACTTGGCTAAGCACTACACAATTTTGATGCAAGTGAATCAATCCTAAAAGCATGTACACGTGCACATTTTATACTCCTGACAATTGATGAAATTACGAAGTAATGAAACAGCAAGGCAGGTGATACTACTGCAACACCATTGGTCGACATTTCCCCTCAGTCACCTTACTGAAACACTATTGGTCGACATTTCCCCTCAGTCACCTTACTGAAACACTATTGGTCGACATTTTCCTTCATATACCTTACTAAAACACGATTGGTCGACATTTTCCTACAGTCACCTAACTAAAACACTATTGGTTGACATTTTCCTCCGGTCACCTTACTGAAACACAGGGCTGCCAACATTAGGTGATAGGCGAGAGTGAGACGCGAGAGTGAGATGCGAGGGAGCGAAGCGACCGAGTGGGGGTGGGTGTAGGAGGGTGATTCCCCCCTCCCACGGTAGGGAGCTTTTGCATTTTATAACTTCAATTTGGGCAATTTGGTGCACACTAAACTGACTGTTTTCAGATATATTGTAAGATTTTTTTGCTGTGCGTGAGATATTTCAGCGTTTTATTCATGAAGAGATATTCATGAAGAGATATCTCAGCATTTTTTTGCTGTGCGTGAGATATTGTAAGATCAGCGTGAGAGCGTGAGATTTGGTCAAAATGCGTGAGAGTTGGCAGCCCTGGAAACACTATTGGTCAACATTTTCCTTCATTCACCTTACTAAAACACCATTTAATAGTCAACATTTTCCTACAGTCACCTTACTGAAACACTATTGGTCAACATTTTCCTTCATTCACCTTACTAAAACACCATTAGACTACATTTTCCTACAGTCACCTTACTGAAACACCATTGGTCGACATTTACCTTCAGTCACCTTACTGAAATGCTATTGGTCGACATTTTCCTTTAGTCACCCTTACTGAAACACCATTGGCCGACATTTGTTCTTCCTGAACGGCGAACAGATGTTCTGATATATCGGAACGCGGAAGAACATCCCAATGCTGTCGAACACGAGGCTCGACTGGCAGTACGTGAAGAAGGGTCCGCCGCAGTTGCAGCACTGTCGCGGCGCGCGCAGCATGTTGTGCAGGTCGCGCGGCAGCCCCGCCGCCTCCCACGCGACGCCGTGCGCCACCACGCCGCGGCAGCACGACTCGAGCAGCGGCGGCACGCGCGACGCGGGCCGCCGCTGCAGCGCCGCGATCGCATCGCTCTCGCCCTCCTCGACGAGCGGGTTGTTGACGGCCGTGAACGTGTAGAGCCGCAGCATCCTGAGCGACGCCGGGAAGTAGCGCAGCGCGTTGTTGCGCACGTGCAGCTCCTTCAGCTGCTGCAGCCGGCCGATCTGCGCCGGCAGCTCGCGCAGCCGATTGTTCGACAGCCAGAGCCGAATGAGGGACCCGCACTGCGCGAGCGCGTCGGGCAGCCGCGTCAGCGCGCAGTCGGACACGTCGAGCTCCTGCAGGCGGCGCAGCGCGCTGATGCGCTCCGGCAGCGCGCGCAGCGGGTTCTCGCCGAGGTACAGCGTCGTCACGTTGCTGAGCTCGCAGATCTCGACGGGGAGGCGCTCGAGGCAGTTCGAGTGCGCGCTGACCTCGCGCAGCGCGGTCAGCCGGCCGATGCTCGCCGGCAGGCTCTCGAGCGCGTTGTTCGTCACGTTGAGCACGGCGAGCGCGCGCAGGTCGCCGATCGCGTCCGGCAGCGAGCGCAGCATGTTGTTCTTCAGGTCGAGCTCGTAGAGCTGCTCGAGCCGGCCGATGCCCTTCGGCAGCGACGTCAGACAGTTGTACTGCAGGAACAGCTCCTGCAGGCCGCGCAGGCAGCCGATCTCCTCGGGGATGTCCGGCAGCCGGTTGTTCGACATGTTGAGCGAGGCGAGCTGCACGCCGATGAAGCCGATGCGGCTCGGGCAGCACGTCAGGTGCATGTAGCTGACGTCGATCTCGTGCGGCTTCGTGCGGCACGCCTCCTCGACGACCATGTACACCGTGTCCCAGCTGGCCTGCGAGCTCCGGCACGTCGGCCAGCCGCTCCAGCCCATGCGCTCGGCGAGGCCGCGACGCGCCGCCGGCTTCCGCTTCACGACGCCCGTCGTCGCCGCGGCAACGCTCGGGGGCGGCGGCGGCGGCGGCGCTCCATCGAGACGCGAGCCCTTGCCGCCGCGGACCGCCGCCCCCGCCGGTGGTTTCGTCGCGGGATGCAGGTAGCTGTGCAGCAGACCCCAGACGACGCAGGCGACGGACACGGCGAGCGACATCGCCACGGCGACGGCGACCGTCGTCGTTCCCAGGTCGCCGCCGACGAAGATCATTTTCGTGTGCGGTGGAGAGGTCGCGTGGAGGTCGTCAGCGAGACGCGGCTGCCGGGCGGCGGGTCACGTGCATCGCCTCACGAGTCACAAATGAACGTGATTGCTGTCCCCCGAGGTGAATCCTGCACACTTCTTTGACACGCGAAAATTACGAGCGGCGATTCAGATGGCACATTAGCCTGGCTCTTTCAGTCAAAGGCCTAAAATAGGCCAGAAACAATGAAGGGAATGGCACTTTAGTGGTAGGCCACCCATAAAATATCCATCATTCGCCACAGTTTAACTGCCACATTAGAATCCTGGATGATCTGAGCAAAGTTTTTTTGAACTTTTACATTTTCCTGGGGTTAATTTCTTAACTTGTATACATGTATACACGTATAGTACATACAGGGGTCGAAATAAGTGATGGTCTGATGGTCCAGGGCCATCAAATAATCAGGAGGACCATCAGATTATCAAAGTCAATGGTCCGACAGACCATTGAATATTTTGGTCCCATTTTACGGTAATTTTCTTTGAAGTTTCACGTGCAATATTCCAAGGATAGTGAGGATTATGTTGAAGAGGAAGATGAACAAATATTAGATAAGATGGACATGATGGAGTGTGCCAAGAAGGCTTATAATCACTTGAATTAGTTACTTGACTGAAGGATGTTAACTGTATTAAATGAATGAACGTGCTTCTAAGAAATATTTGAGACATACTATATTCCGGTGTTATGGGTTCAACTAAATTAAATACTAAAACAACTTTATTAACCAATATACTATTAAAGTGAATAAACAATTACTGTATTGTTTAATACATTCATTGCAGGTGAATAATTAAACAATTTTATCACCTTGTAAAATCTATTTCTTACGCTTGCACGCCGCATTACTATTAGAGAACAATTTGAAATTTAGGAGGACCATCTAAATTTCAAACTAGATGGTCCTGTGGACCATCTCTTTTTTCTCCTCATTTCTACCCCTGTAGACAGATCCACAGATATATTCTTCTCTAATTCACCAACCTACAGTTCAAATGCTGACTATATGGGGTTACTGCAAACATGAATACCGTTAAGAGTGAGATTTATTTACATATAACATCAAAAAGGGGTATAGCATGCCCTTGCTCAAATATCACCACTGACGCACACTACAAATATGACAATTAAATCACACGTTCAACAAGCAATCGTACGAAGCAAATACAGACAGCGACTGCTAACAAATAGGTTTAAATAAAAAACTGCTAGAAATGTCGGCAAAAAGTTCACAAGGGATAGTTGGACAGCATGTTCAAAGGGTGCCTTGAAAAGATAGCCAACCACAGATCTGATCATATATCTAAAAAGTTAAAGCTCTCTACACAATAATTGTTTAGGGAAATGTATAAATTTCTACACTCTAAAAAAAGCTTGGGGAACTAAGGGAAACTCAGCACTAGAAGCAGAATGACAGAAAAAGCATTATAAAAATATGTACTAAAAATACTGTAATTCGTACAAATTATGTACACAAATTATGTACACAATTTACTGCAACAAATCATCAATATACATGCAAAAGAATTAGGTATGATTTTTCAGGCAAGACCAAGAACTTTAAGGCCGCCGCACACCAGCCGATTTTTACAAACGATGAAGCGATGAAGCGATGAAACGATGTAGGTGTGCGCGTTCATTTGTAGACGATTTTATTGTTATCGGGTGATCGTTCCAAAATCAAACATGTTTGATTTTGAACCGATTATTTGGACGCGATTTTGTGGTGTGCGCGTGACCTCAGGAAAATCGTGTGCGATAAATATTGAACAGCCAATAGCTGAACGTGCCCGTGTCACATGACATTCACCTTGCAGAAATTATCGTAGGTGTGCGCCGCACACCTACATCGCTTCATCGCTTCATCGCTTCATCGCGTCATCGCTTCATCGTTTGTAAAAATCGGCTGGTGTGCGGCGGCCTTTAGTAATGATATATATATATATATATATATATATATATATATATATATTATATATATATATATATATATATATATAGATGAAAAAATACAACCTAGCAAGGAATACTGTAATATGGTACAACACAGTCTCAAAATCATTTCATAGCTTTAAAAGTAGTAGATGAGTGAGATGCAATACACACTTGAGGTGTTTTAGAAAGTATAATTTTAAGTTGATACCGCGAGTTGTATGCAAAGTCCATATATATATATATATTATATATATATATATTATAATATATTTTACATGAACCAGAATTGGGTCAGAAACCTCCAGGGCACATCCCATGTAAGATTAGCATCTATTCAAGGACATTTAGGACAACTGATCGCAGGAAGTAAAGGGTAACGTAAAATAAGAAGACTTAATATTACATTCATGCAGGTAGGAGAAAGAATCGAAATAATAGGATTGAACCATGAAACGGACTAATTTAGACAAGGCTTGAACGAGTAAAGTTTTTTTGGCAGCACAGATATATATATATATATATATATGATGATGATAGCCTAAGAATGGAGAAAAGGCAAATATAAAGAAACTTGCAAATATATATACAAATAATTAATTGCAAGATAATATAGACATATTGCACATGTAAAGGCATGCAGTAATGGCAAATGTTCTGTCATCTAATATAATCACATAATTAGTGAGTGTGCAAGTTCTTGGCTCATATCAGAGAACAGAAAAAAATGTCTGCATGTAATTATTACAAGTTGATTCATGTTCGAATAAAAGCCATGACCTGGTTGCTTCTGTATGGTATACCCAATCTGTCACTTACTGTAGCAACAGCATCAGAAATACATCACTCCAAAAAATGTGCGATTTCCAAATATCACGAGAATCTGCCAATTTCATATACATTCCACCAACACCATTCATCTGCCAATTTCAGCCACAACGCCACCAATCGCTTATGAATTAATGCAATCAAATCAAACCTGACGTATTAGGCATGAAAAGTACTGACTAATAAGTAATGGAATGAGATTAAAATCCTGTAGTGTAAGTATGCAAATCCCCGCATACTACGGCCCAAGGATAGAGAGCATGGGTCCCAATAAAACCAATGTGCCTAACCCTAACCCTAACCTATTATATTGATATAATATTATATTTATATTGATGTAAATGACATTGGTTTTATTGGGACCCATGTTCTCTATCCTTGAACCCATACTACTAGTAGTAAGTACTACTAGTGCCAATGTCGCAATGGTAGGGCCGAGCATATTCATGATTGAATTGATTCAACAAAAACTGTCAAAATACTGCGGATTGTGATTTGTGATGGCCGATTTCAGCAGCAATACAAAACACTAGTCACTACAACAACAAGGGCAGTTTTGATCATTACTGATTTTTTGATTGTACACTTTTAGTTGTGATCATGATTGATGGCAATGCCTGCTAATGCCAGTAATGGTAGGACTACGACTGTACACGTAACAGTAACGGTAACAGAGATAAACAAACTGGCAACACCAACAACGGTGTACTGTCACCGCGTTTGACTGGTGCCTGGTAAAATAGGCCGACTTAGTATGACAGTCAGTCTAACCCCACCAGGCTGTGTGACTAACGTCAATATATACACAGGTCTCCTAACCCTATACTATAGCCTAGGCCTAGCAAAGACCGTTTTTTTGGAGCTAGTCAGTCATGCTTACCTATGTAGTGAATACTTTTCCCATATTTCAGCTTCTGTAACACCACAAACCATCAGTATAAAGGCATATACTCAACACTCTGCAGCATCTGTACGTGATGTAGATCTATATGAGTGCCAACGATTTATGTGCACTGTTATGACAATGAAACATCCTTTCGTATCGATATATCACGGACAATGTACTTAGGATCCATCATGGTGTCTAGACGGACCCCATCTCCTTTGCTCAGTTCTTTAGTGCACTCTCCCGCTATCGATATTGCGATAAGTGAATATCGGGCGAGCAGTATTCCCCGTCTATTGCCCCGGCTGTCAGAACGAGATTTACCGACTCCTAGCGACACCTGTTGGCGGGAACGATACAGGTTGAACTGTTGAACAGTAGGTAAGGAGATAGAGAAAGCAGACGTATTAATTTTCATGAGGGTAGAGAAGTGAGGTAAATGAGTTAGAGGAATGGAGACGGTGAGAGAGGCCGACATAGTAAATGAGCGATGAATGTAGGCGAGAAGGTGGAAGAGTTGGAAAGAATGAGAAGGAAGAATAATAGTAAACTGGGGAAGAAGGCGGACAAGTACAAGAGAACAGAAGGTGAAAGAGTTCGAAGAGAAGAAATGTGAAAGGCTCAAAAAAGCTACAGCCTACAGGAGGGTGATTAGCCCGACGAGGCTGTGCGACTGATTGTTTATCATATCTACGCCTACCGTATCGGCGTGGCGCGGTGTCTAACAAAAACAAAGCTATTGATGTTACATGAGCGGATCTAGAGGGGGGTCCAGGGGGTCCGGACCCCCCTTTTTTACCCACAAAAAAGGAAAAAATGGAAAACATATAATAGATCATTTTCTGCGTGTGTTGCTATCCCCCGGGCGTGGAGGGAGGTCACGTGATAACGTTGACGATGACGTTCAAAACGTTAAACCTAACGGTAACTCTCACTTCAACACCGCCAACAGCGACACTCACACTAAATATATATGTATCGCCGCGCTATATATAGGCATTGTTATCCACAAAAATTAATCTATGGTGTGGGGACA